TATTGCAACAATTACAAAACAGGCTCTAGATAAAGTGTAGGGCACATTTTCCACAATAACTACATATTTACATGTTGTAGACACTGTAATAAACACAGAAAAAAATATGCAAAGCTTTTTACTTACTTCAATTAGATAAATCCAGTCCAGTAAATCGAGGGGATGATGCTCAAGCAAAGATCTGGAGGTTGTGTGACTTCTTCACCTGAGGGTAGGCCTTGTATACAAATGTAGGACCCAATAGCATTGTGAGATGAAACAGCATGACTCAATGAGTATGTTAATGCAGTTGAACCAAAAGAAAAAAAAAAAAAAAAGGTTTATTTTGGGAGGACAAAAAATGTTGTAATTCTGCAACAGTGGGTCTTACAGGGTTAAGTGATGCATTTTGGTTATATCCTGTATACTGCTAGAAAAATGTGATCCTTCAAAGTCAGAGAAATCAATAGGTAAAGTGGGAAGAGGTCTGAGTCAGCACATTTAATTGGAAAAGCTATTGAAAGTGCTTTACAAGAGAAAAACAAAGGAAAAGAAAAGTGACAGAGGTAACACGAGTATTTAAAGAGAATAAAGGTGAATAGTTTAAATAAGACAATTATATTACAAGAAAGATCCAATGTTTGATAGAAGCTGAAAGGAAAGTTGGACTCACAACATAACTATCAAGGTTTAGATGACACAGTCAAAGGACACTATAAACAAATACTGTAGATTTTTCATGTTCATTTAATGCCACTGGTGCTTTAAATGCTTTTACATTTTTCTGGGAGTTTGTTCCAGATTAGTTGAGGATAAAAACTTACTGGCTGCTTCATTAGGTTGGGTTCTGGTTCTCTAGAGCAGACTTGAGCCAGAAGACCTGAGAGGTCTGGGTTATTGATCCACTGAAAACCAGTCTGTAATGTATTATGGAGCAAAGCCATTCAGTGATTTCTAGACTAACAGAAGGATTTTAAAGTTTACTATTTGAAATACAAGGAGCCAGTGGAAGGATGTTAGAACTGGGCTAATGTTTTCTCCACTTTTTCAGTTCTAGTGAGGATGCAGGCAGCAGCATTCTGGATCAGCTGCAACTGTCTGATCCACTTCTAGGCCGACCTGTGAAGACACTGCTGCAGGGATCAACTCTACTAATTCGTTTTTCAACATTAGTCCTTTTTATTCAGATAAAGAACATCTCTGTCCATCCTTGCATTGATTTCTTCTCTGAATTTATCCAGAGCTGGAATGCGTTCATAGTTACATGCTGACATGGTGATATACACCAAGTGTGGTCTGCATAGTTATGGTAACTTATGTTGTTTATTAAGATCTGAGTTGGGGGGGCGTGTAGAAACTAAATAGGATGGACCATTGGGGAACACCACATGTAATTTTACTGGTATTGGATGTAAATATACTTACTGACACAAAAAGCCCCTCTTACGGTGGCCCAGAGGTGTCAACACTAATACTAAAGCAGCAACATGATTACAAAAGCCACAACAGAAATATAAAAAACACAACAGAATAGCAGCAAGGGAAGTATAAAACTACAATGAAAGAACTGGTCATTATACACACATATATACCTAGACACCTCATTGGATGCTGGCCATCGTGCCTAGAGGGTGGCCATCTTTGATTAGACCTTTGTTGTTTGGCCTCTGTGTTATCGACAGACACACAACAGGCTCATTTAAATTCTGAAATAATCCTGGTTTTATTTATCTTGAAAACTACAAACTAAACACAACAAAATAATAAAAAACTTGCAGTCATGCTCCATTTCAGACGCATCCAGCTGAGCGACATCATTAATGATGTGATTCCCCTCTGACATTGAGGAGGATTAACTAAGTAGTTGTATCCAGCAGATCTTATTTTATTTAACAGATTAATAATCTACCCTTAATTTAAACTATTCAGGTAAAAAACGTTCTTTATAAACTGGGTCCTTGTATCAGATGCATTCTTTCTCCTTCTTTTCTCTTCCTTTTTCAAACCAAGACTTTGAGGCGCTGCATTTTTCAGCCGTGGACATTTTTCCCGCACTGCTGCTAATTTACACTTTTTCTAGTTAATTAGTTTCTTTCGTTCTCACTACGTCAAATGACGAGCGTTTGGCATGCAAGCCCAGGTATGAGAGAACTGTGGGTGACAGATAGGGAGACCTGATGCGATGCAGCAAGGACCTGAGGACCAGTTCCTTTCACAGGAGGGGGGGGTCAATATAGTCATGCTTTAATGTCAGTGCTGAGAAATGAACATGAAGATCATTGATTTTACTGCTGAATTTTCAGCAGGACAATTCTTTGCTTCTTCTTTTGGGCCCCCCGTCAGTCAAGTGTTCCTCAGATGCTCATTACATTTCCAAGTATGACCAAAGAATCATTAACTAAAGGTTATTGGTTCTTGATTAAGCAAATCATTGAATAAAACATTATTTGGCCAAATAATGTTTTATTCACCTCATGGATTTGCATTGTGAATTGGTCTGAAAACATTCCAATTTCTCTAAATCAGTGAAAAGCTAATTTGATCATATCCCAAATTCTTCCAGATAAACTTTGGTTTCAAACACAGAATCCATCTTAAACTGTAATATAGTTTTCAACCGTGCTTCCCTTCCTCTTTCTACATAGTAGTTTAGTTTAGTTTAGTTTCACTAGTTTTAGTTAAGAGTGTTAAACTGAAATATGTTTGACTTGGGGCTGAATGATTTTTGTTAATAAAATCTTATATTTTGAACAGAAGTTGTGGTGAATTTATTCCATGTATGCGCAGAAATAACTGTTTGTCCATGATTAGTGCTCCAATCACTCTTTTAATGTATTGTTCTAACACACAGTTGGTAAGGCTACGTGTCATAACTATTATATAACAGTCCAAATAATATCTGGTTAAAAAAGAAGCTATTTGCCACCCCTACCGAGGAGGTAAATAAACATCTTAAAGGAATAGTACACCCAAGTACACTGAAAGCGCGCACATGTGCGCTCACGACGCTATGGAAGCCGGCAGACCAAACCAGATGAAAGTGCGCATTCAGCGTCTGCTCTGCCAATAATGCAAGCGTAGAAG